GGCGCCACTGGCAGGGTTCGCATGGCGGCCTCGCCCCATTTCGGCACACCCCTCATACGTTTCGTGGCCCCATAAAAAGGGGCCCCACCTAAGTTCCCACTTGCGGAACTCGCACAGCGGCCTCGCCCCATTTCGGCACACCACTCACACGTTTCGTGGCCCCATAGGGAGCTCCACCTATGGTCGCCAGTGGCAGCTTCCCTCATGTCTCTCAGAGCCCTCTCCTGCTTCTGCTCCTCGGTCAGGGGGGCGCCGTCGTCGTCGTCGCGCCCGCGAAAACGGCCGCGAACGTGTCCCTGAGCATGTCGGGTTCCGGCGGGAAGCCGTGGCCACATAGGGAGCGTGGGCGAAGATGGTATTCACAATTGCGGTACTCACAACTGCGTATGGTTGAGTCTTTCGCCAGGCTAATTATGTTGATGTCATTCTTCGTTCCCCTACTCACCTCGGGCCTCGGGTAGGCGCTCGGAACGATTCCGGGTCTCGCGGAGGACCCTCTCGACGAGGCGCGTCTCCAGGAAAACGCCGCGGGGGCCCGAGAGACTACCAAGAGCCCCCAGAAGGCCCCGAAGAAAACCCTCGTCTCTCAGAAGGGGATCTACGGGTCCTCGCCGATCTCCCCAAGTCCGAGCAGAATCGGGGGCGCGCAAACATGGATTAGCGATCCATGGATTTGGCGCGCGGTCGCCAAATCCATGGATCGGGAGCCCTCCCCAAAATGCGGCTGGTGCAGCCTCGCTCGGCGGCGGAAACCCGCGATGTACCATGAACGGGACTCGTCGCTAATCCACGCCCCCTTGATCCATGTTTGCGATCGCCTGACAGAAGCCTTGGACGCCCGAGTTATCCGGGGTAACTCGGGTCCGGGGTAACTCGGGTTTGGGTTCCCGAAAAACGAACCCGAGTTATCCCTGACCCGAGTTATCCCTGATGATTCGGGGCTCTGGACGCCCGAGTTATCCGGGGTAACTCGGGTCCGGGGTAACTCGGGTTCGGACTCCCGAAAAACGAACCCGAGTTATCCCTGACCCGAGTTACCCCTGATGATTCGGGGCTCTGAAAGCCTCCACTGGAAACTGGGTCCCCCCTGGGGTACATCCTGACCCGCTTGCCGACACGTCGACCTTCCAAACCAGATCCTAGATCGGCCAACGACTGCACGTCGGTCGGAAGAAGTAAGGGCTCCCAGCTTCGCGCTTCGCGCTGCGCGAAGCGCGAAGTGCGAATAACTTCGCGCTCTCGCGCCGCCTCCCAGGGGAGAAGAGTAGGATGAGGAATCGGAGCCGAACCGCGAAGCGCGAAGCGCGAATAACTTCGCGCCCTCGAGGGCGCCCTTGAAGAAGTAGGCAAAAACATGAAGTAGGAAGGCGGATCAAGTACGTTGGGCTCGGGCCCCCGCAGAGAGCAGCAAAACACGGCAGAAACGCATGCCGACTCCTGAGGCAGGAAGGCGCTTGAAGCAGATTGGGATCCGGGAATCCCAGGAGAGCCCAGAATCGAATCGATAAATCGGATCGGCAATCGACATGAATCGGATCGGCGGAAATCGGCAGCCGAATCGGGGAAAGTCGAATCGGCGGACATCGGCAGGCTAGTACGCCTCCAACAAAACATCGGAATCCAAATCGGAAGCCCAAATCGAATCGAATCGAATCGGAATCGGAATCCATCGAAGCCGAATCGGATCGAATCGGAGGAATCGAAACGAGCCCTGGAATCCCCCCAAAAATGCCTACGTTCGGCGACCGGCGTGTACACCCTGGGCGATGCTTAAGAAAGCCCAAATGTTCGGCCAGAGTCTCGATTATTCTTAATGTTTCAAAGTAAATCCTAAGATTTGAATAGACATTCTGGGTTTTTATTCAACTTCTGAGACTATGAATTTCTTAACCCATGATTCCTAAAGCATTTCGCAGGGTGTACGAAGAGGGCTCGCCGCGGGGTCCAAGTGCGGGCTGTCCATGTCGCCGCCCGGCGGCTGGGCGGCCATGGCTCTGCGCGCCGGCGAGGCTCGCCCCAAAAGGGGGCTGGCATTAGGTCGGGCACGTCCTCCCACAGGCGGGGTCTGGACGAAATTATCCTGGCGAAGGGCCCAACCATACGCAATTCCGAATGCCGCCGTTGTAAGTATCGTCGTTGGTGGAACACCCGATGGGGCCACGAAGCGTGTGAGAGGTGCGCCAAATGGAGGTGGAACTGCATGCGGACCCTGCCACTGGGGCCTTCGGTGGAGCACCCTGTGGGGCCGCGAAACGTGTGAGGGGTCCTCCCACAGGCGGGGTCTGGACGAAAAAAAACAAGCAACCAAAAACATGCCCCCAAAAAATGGCCAGAAATAGTCGAAGATCGCCCCGGGATGCGATGCGATGCGATGCGACCACGGTTGCGGACAGCGTCCGGACCTAGAGCAGACCAGGTGGGTGAGGCCATGGCCTCTAGGATCTGAGGTGTCTGGATTCGTGCGATGCGAGACATAGAAAAAGTTAGGAGGAGAGGGGGG